TCTATTTGTTTTTTGCTTGCGCTATCTTTTTAACAATTTTTTACAGGAACTGGCAACGACAAATCGGCAACCGAAAACGTCCTTCACCTCCCATTGTCAGTAGATTCTTCCGCTTCTTCTAGTGCTCTCAAAACATTCCGGAACCAATTCGTACTCTGGATCCCGGGCGTACCCCGAAAATACCCACGCCTCCTTCTCCTGCTCTCTCCAGGGGTGCTGCTCCCCTTTTTCGGGCCCCCGTGGTTGAGGATCATAATTTGAAGGGGCACCCTGGTCACCGCTCGTAGGATAAGGGCCAAGGGTGCCAAATTTCTAGGCGCCCTCCCGATATAGGTGGTGCCCGCTATACTATGTAGCACCAGGGTATTAGAACCTACTGCATTTTACTGTTAAACGTTGTATTGGGTTGGAACGTAAGTCTCTGCGTATTTTCGAGCTCAATTTTCGTACGAAATTCCTAAATTTTTTGATGTGTCCTATATACCATTAGAAAGAGAATTTTTTGCTCTACAAGGCACCAATAGCCGCTTATTTTATAGGCGTTACTTTCCCATGGATTTGGGGGAACGAAGTATCGGCGAAAATGACCTCAAAGGATCGACGACCGCACCATGCAAAATTTTTCCTTACCATAATTATCAAATTCAATTTGATCTATTATGTACTCACTCAGTAGGACTACAGTTTGCAGCCAAAGATTATCAAGTTTATGGATTTGTCTACGCTAAACCCGGGCTCAAATTATCGCACAAGACAGTAGTTCTCCTTAGTTGATGTTTTTCCATGAAAATTTAAAGATAGCTCTGTTTGATTTTGAACGTTGTAGTTTTTTCTAAATAGGCAGAAAAGTCGAACACGAGCTTGGAATGTGCTAAATAATTGTTTTTAACGCACAATTTAGCAAGTGAAGGTAGGACGCATTTTGGTCAATTTTTCGATCTGCTAAAAATTACTGAAAGGCTATTTAGAAAATAAACTAATTACATGAAGAAGTAGAGGAATAAAGACTCTCTCGAAACCTAAAAAGTCAACTGTAAAAATAAATTATCGATCGTGCTCAAAATCGAGCTCAAAGGAAAGCGACGATTTTCATTCTAACCCATTAATTTCGAGCAATGTAAGCGTAGAAAATAAACTAATACCAGTTTCTGATAGCGAAAAGAAAGCTCTTTCGAATGATATATAACACTTGGTCCAAAGTCCACGATTAAGACAAGCAGCGAGCTTTGACAAAAGCGCAGAGACTTACGTTCCAACCCAATAGATTAACGACACGAGTAAGGCATATCTCTCCACTTGCCTGTCTTAGGGTTCGTACTTGATTTTACATCGCATGGCAGCCACATGCAACGCATGACAAAGCAGAAAAACGCCAATTCGCGACAGCCTGGATCCCGACAGCCGAAAATCCCGACAGTCCCAAATCCCATCAGGCCAAAATCCCGACAGACAAAAATCCCAGCATGGAAAATTCCTGGCTAGTTGGGCTAGCGCTAAAAATGTGTCGGGATTTAGGTCTGTCGGGATTTGGGCCTATCGGTATTTCGCTGTCGGTATTATTCATAACCAATAATCCAGCCTGCCTTTCCGGTCCCTTTAACCGTCAGCCAACCCCCTAAATGATGTTGAGCAGTGTTTTCCCATCTCGCACGGCTCCAAAATGATCACAAAATGGTGGCCATCTGGCCCTGGAGCTTTGGTGTTCAAAGCCGGAGCTCTTCGGTCCCCCTACCCTTCTTCAGAATTGCGCAACGGTCAGCGTGTAGCGCTAATTAGAGGGCCCTCCCGCTGCGATTTGCCACCCCCCGAAGCAGGATAGTGGGATGCGCGCGGGGCGGCTTCTCGCCTTTTTGGCCTTTGAATGGGAGGGTATTTGGGTGGGGTAGGATGATCTGTTGCCCATGCATGCACCTGCAATATGGGCCAACGGGTGGGTATTGTTTGGGTTGTGTAAGGGGTACTGTAGGGTATTAACGGGAGGATTACAACGCAATTTTTTGTGGGTTTGAATGCTTTGAAAGATTGCTTTAAGATTACTATCATACTTTTCAAAATTTTCAATTTTCTCTATAGTTTTTTACGATGAGATATTTTTAAACAAGTTGAGGTTTCAAGGTTTTAACGATTAGCAAATGGTTTTTGTGTAAAAAGGCTGATTTTCGTATACTGAACTAGCTTATCAAATACATTTTTTAAAAAACTAGCGTATTTCGGAGTTTCTTTCAGATCAACGCTTCATTAGCTGTTTTTATAGCAAAAAAAAACACGTGTTTTAATACTTTAAAATGCCTAAAATATACTTTGCTTACTCAACTTAATTAACACCTTTTCGCGCCATCTTAAATTTCGCAAATTGATTTGTTTTAGATTGAAGATGAAGATATTTAGAATAGTATAGCCTTGTTTAATTGGCGCAGGTTATAATCCTAAAAAACGCTTGCTTTGGTATATTTAAGGTATACCATTGGGAAATAAGATCTACTTTTATAGGCGGAATAGTGAGAAAGCCTGCGTTAAATCTTTCCTCACTTCATAAAACCCCATCCCCGCACCCCATTTTCGCGTCATAAAAATGGTGCCAACTGTCCACAGGTGTTCCCCGTAGCCATTTAGCGCGACGAACCATGTAGTACATGCTGGGGGCACCTCGTTAATCCCATCCCACTACCTTCGAATACCTTTACTGTCCCCTGGCCCGTGCCCATTTAACAGATGGCAAGTCATGGCACGCCTCGATGCCCAGAACATTGTAGAGAGCAAATGGGAAAGCGAGAGAGAGAGAGAGAGAGAGAAAGAAATAGAGAGAGAGACAGAAGGACAGAGAGAGAACAATAATTGAGCATGGTGTGTGGAGGCATGCCTAGCGGCTAGTGACCCTCCTCCTGGTATCATTCGCTAGTTACCCAGCCCCCCACCCACCATGGCTCATTTCCGGATTAACCTCACCCCTGACGGTGAGGCTAGTTGACTTCCTAGCTAGCTAGTTACCTTCCCCATTCCGATATATCATACTTTAAATGCCCTTGTGATGCGTCAGAATCAACCCCTTTTAACGACTAGATCTCGACAACTACGAATCGCAAGAAATAACGCAATTTTGCGGCTTTTCTGGCAATTTTATGCGTCAATTTGATGTTAGTTTTTGCAGCACAGGTGTTCTCGCTTCTTGTTCCCTTTATAATCCGTTCTAGGACTGTCGTTACCCCTTTAGAAGTTAGGTAACTCGCAAGACCTGGATGTCACAAACCTTTTAAAGGCTTTAGAATTGGAAAACCGACCCTTAACTTCGGCTAGCTCTCGATAGCTACGCGGCGCGACAAATGACGCGTTTTCACGCATGCTTGTAAACCCTAAAAAACTCAAAAGTTGCTCAAACCATCTTTTTTTTGTGTAAGAAGTCAAGATCTAGCCGATCGAAAAGGCTCGGATTTCGCGGTCTTTTAAAACAGTTTAAGCTCGTTTACCCTGTCAGCTCTTTCCCAAAAATCGAAAAAATTTGTCTTTTTTCCTAGACATGAAAAGATCTAAGTTTGATTTTAAAGGCGCTACGGTAGTGCAAATCTGGTGTTTTGGTAATTTATAACTATACGAAACCTTAAAACGTAATAAGCTTCTGCCCAGTTGCTTTAGAGTCAGAAACCAAGCTTCACCTGTCCCTTTAGCTGCACCCCATTCCGCCAATAACCCAAAGCCCCCGACTCTTTAATTGTCGTCGAGCCAATGAAGGGATTACGGGGGGTCCCTAGCTGGACCTTCACAGTTTCCAATTTCCCTTCCCTCCCGTGTCTAGAGGCAGGTGGATGCATCTCCCCCACTCGGCATTCACAAATTGTGACCGTGGCCATGTAATCCCCTCGAATTATGCGAGCATCTAGCTTGTCTCTGTCTCTCTCCTTCCGTTTGCCTGTGTCTTCTGTCTGTTTTTCTATCTGTCCAAGACCGTGTCAAGCCCCTCCTCTACAAGACGCCATGCTGGGTCTCGACTAAATTGGCCACATCTGCTCCCCCCAAACAACACCATGGGGTGGTAGGGGGAATAAGGAGGCCACTTTTCCGGGGCGTACAGTCGGGTGACTGAGGCGTTTTTGTATAGTTTTTGGGAAGGTTACTGTATTTTTGCATTATTTTTATTGTTTTCGATGCTTTGAAGATAGCATAGTCAAATAGTGGTGAATTTTAAGCTTAAAACGTGTGAAACTATGCAAAGGCTTTGGTAAGTCTAAGCCTGCTCTTTCTCTCTCTCTTTCGCTCTCTCTCTCTCTATCTCTCTGTCCCTCCCCACTGTCCCTCCACTCTACTCTCAAAAAAAAACTAGAACTAATAGCGGACAAGGGAGCACGAGACGGAGCACCAACTTGGCCCCGAAACCTCAACCTCCCAAAAATTCCCAACCACACCCCAAACCACCGGCTCGACCGCAATTTGTCGTCGTGCCGGACACGGCCCTCGCTCATCCCAGCTCCAATATGCATATTACAACTGCTAGTAAGGGGGCACGACATGTTGTTGTCTCTTGGCCCCTCTTTCCGGGAGCATCGACAGGTGGCTGTGTCTCGTCGATGGACCCCCGTTCCGGCCCGCACTACCTGTCATTTTCCGGCTCCATGCGCATCCCCCGGTCCCTCAGGCAGATCCATCATCATCACTTGCTGGTTTTGCGGTTTTTAAACTAGCTTGTTAGGTGGTAGCCTGGCCTAAAGGGGCCGGTAATGTAATACTGCGGATTCCCGTAGCTAGGGCTTTTTTGGTAACTTTGCAGCGTCCGCGGCATGCAACCACTTGACCGTCTTGAAAAGGTCGGAACTCATTACGCGATTGAAAGGAGTTTTTTTCCTTGTAAACCTTTTTGGCTCGCCAGCTAAATTTTCGGTCCCTTTTGTTGCAACTTTTATCTCGTGCTCTCTCGCTGATTCTCTCCCTCTTTCTCCCTCTTGCTCCCTCTCTCTCTCTCGCTCTCTTTCGCTCTCGTTCTTCCTCACCTAAACCTCCGCTTTTCAGAGATGATGCTCCTTCTCCTACTCCTTATCTCCGTCACCGCCGCCTTCGAAGCCAGCCGCTCCCCCGAGAATCCATCTTTGCCCCGGATTACTGTAAAAATGGAGGAGCTTTTGTGAACGTGAGTCTAACCGTTCCTAACTTACTCTCGGGCTCTTATCCTCCCCTTAAAATCTTCAAATTCCATTCACCATACCCCGAGGCCACCTACCAAAAAAAGCAATTGACATCGATGGTCGCGATCGCTGGATGCGATACCCGCCCCACGGCCAGAGGTTAATCCGGATTGCGGCCAGGCGGGGCGGCAAAAGAACCATTGAGGGCCATCCAAAAAGCATGGGCCCATTGTCTACAGTCCCATCCACATCCGGGGATCATCCCCCTCCCACTCCAATTCCTAGCCACGATTGCCGTAGCCTAAGGGTATGGGCGCGTGAAATTGCGTGCAGATTGTTGCGGGGTGACCCCGGGGAAATGTTCGTTTGTGGGGGAGTAACAGCTTTGCTGCTAGAACTTCAAAAAAATTTCTCCAAAAAGTGTAGCTATACCTTAAATCAATAAATATACCCTGAATATCACAATTTCAGGGCGAATGCCAATGTACTCTACGCTACGAGGGAAAACAATGCGAACGCGAAAAGTGTCTAAATGGTGGACGACGTCATAAGACAAACGGAGTGGTAGGTATTAAAAAACGAGTAGATACTACACCTAAAAACAACCAATACACTACTTCACAAAAACTAGACATTTATCTAGAAATTTAGGTACACAAATCTGTAGAAATTTTTCGCTGAAACGCTAAAAAACTAGTCAAAACAACTTGTTCTAGGTGAAATGCCACTGTCCATTTGGCTTCGCCGGTGAACGCTGCGAAAACGTCACGTTCTGCGAGCCGGGCAAGGGAAAACTGATCAACGGCAAATGCGAGTGCTCCGACCGATGGACCGGACAATTCTGCCACATCCGGACGTGCTACAACGGGATCCCGACCGGAGGATTGGTGAGTACAGAGAACTCGAATTTCACAAAAAAATCCTCGCTCACGTTTTCTTACAAAGTGAACGATCGTCTAAACATAATCCACACCCCCCTTTCTAACGCCCCACGCTTCAGGAAGGTTTCTGCCTTTGCGACGTCGGCTTCACCGGACCGTTCTGCGATGAGAAACTGATGTGCTACAATGGAGGAAGCGTCAGCCAGGTAAAATCTCGATCAATTAGAAAACCAACGCCAATTCTCAGGACAACGAGTGCGTCTGCGCTCCCGGGTTTGCTGGCGACCACTGCGAGGACTGCGCCCCGGGACATCACCGCGAAGGGAAAAGCTGTGTCGCTGAGGTCTCGGGCCATCCGCTTCTCTCAAACTCCTCGTTGGACCAATTCCCCTGGACGATCATCATGGTAAGAAAGAAAAAAACTGCTAGCAAAAACCAAGGTCCTTTTAAATTACCGGGGGGCATAACCAAATTTATTACAATTCCAGATATACCTTTTGACGTAATAGCAAGTATTTTCATGGTGTTTGGGCCAAATTTAGCCATATTTAAAGGGGAGAAACTACCTAAAAACCCAGAAAATTCTAAAAATTGTTATGTTCGAAAAAATGGTGATTTTCGGTTTTTTTGAAAATAGCTGTAGCGCTTAGGAAAGTAAAAACGGTTGAGGACCACTGCCTTATGTTAGAAAATAGAAAAACTAGCATAAGACCTAGATACTAATGAAAAACGGTTCCCCCTCCCCCCGATAATGCAAAAGCACCTAAATCGAACAACAACTAATTCGAAATCCCCATAAAAACAATTCCTAGGTCGCCGGCGTCTCACTAGCCGCCATCCTCCTCATCGCCCTGTCGGCAATTTTTGGCTTGCGCAAGTGGAAGACAAAGCCGAGCAGAGTGGGCTCGGCCCAGAGCGTGCAGAAGGATCTCCAGGTCGGTGGTGAGCCCTTTCTCTACTCCAGGGCATGCTCGCTCTCAGCCACTGTCGCTCATTATTTCCGAGATCATTAGAGTAGACCCTAAAAATGGCTATCTAAATTGAAAGAGCATGCCTTGGTGCGAGAACTGTTGCTTGGGCTTTGTTATTCAGCAAAAAAAAAAACAAGCTAAAACAAAATGAAAATAATCAGTTACCTATGGATCGCAGCAAACATATACAGGTTCCAAAAAAAAGTTATGGTCAAGAAATTAATAAAATTCATAAAATTTCACCCCATGGTCAGGTTAAATATAAGAAATCTTGTTTATTTAATATGGGGACTCTAATTATCAAAAGTTAATTTTCATTTGGTGATAATTTCCGAAAGGTCATTCTTGCCTTTAAGAAGATTCATGGGAATAATTATCGAAAACCCAGATATAAGGAACATATTTTAACATTTCACGGTTGTTTTAATTTATTTTCGGTTTACATAGATTTCCTCGTTTGGTTTGGATAATTTGGAGCTGGTCGACCGCTCGTCGGTAGGGCAATGACCAAAACTTAATAAAGTGTTTGAGTGCTCAAAAGCTGTTGTTTCAGGTATTTTTTTGTCTCATGTTCTTAGAGCGCAAACTGAATGGCCTTTTCCGGCAAAATTATGCAAATAGCTCGTAAATGACAAAATTACGCATTTTTGTCAAATGGGTCCCATATTAAATAATAAGTATTTTCGTTATAACTATAAATCCGTGACCGATGGGCTGAACTTTCTGTGTTCATGGGTTGGCTTCGTCTCTTAAATTTCTTGTCGTTGTTTTTGGTCCTAAAAATAAAACCTTAACTATGGAAGGAAAAGGAAAAAGCTGTTAGGGACTAAAAAAACGAGTAAAAACATTTTCTTAACGAAATGATCGGAAAAAAGCCCGACTTTGGACGTACTTACGAAATCTACCACTATTCATTGAAAATAACTACCCAAAAGGAGTTGAAAACCTTAAAAAGATAGATAGAATTAAACCCCAATTTTCAAGAAAAATTAGCTATAAAGCTTCTAAGAAAAGGCAAAATATCAGTAATCACGTTAAAAAGCTGCACCACGAGTGGACAAATTTCGTGACAAACTGCTAAAATAGACTGGAGGGTTTGAGCAAACCCAAAATACGCCGAAAATACCTCATTCTTCACATTCAGGGCCAGCCGGCCACCGACGTCTAACGACAACACCCCGCTCAGCGCTGCTCATCTTCAACGAGAACTTCAGCCTAGCTGAAGGTTCCTCAACCTCCCATATCCTCCTTCCCCTATATGCCTTCGAGAACTACCGCCGGGCACGGCTGCAGAGCCTCGCAATCGAAGACCTCTAAACTACCCTACGAGAATCTTTCCGAACCAAAACTTCCAACCTCAACCCCCAACGCATCCCCCCACCGTGCATTCACTTTTGGTCAAACCGTCCGAGCTTCGTACACCTAGTCCATTTGAAAATTGTTTTGATATTGAAAAGAAGAAACCCGCCCTTAACCTTCAGCTCTCCCTACTTTTTCACGTTCTCGCTCGAAAAATAATCTCAGGACCCGATCTTTGCCCCCCTACAATTGTAGTATTACCATCCCCCCTCCTACAGGTAATACCTGAAATTATCTCTTGTGTTCGCGTTATGCCCATGTCGCGCGATGTGGTGCTTGAATAAATTTTATTGTATATTTTGTTTGATAATACGTGAAAAACGACGAACAACACAAAAATCAATAAACAAAGGTTTATTGGAACGGAAGGCGGCAGCGCAATTTTCAGAATTTTATTTTACTTGGTTTGATTTTCGTTTTTGTCTGGTTTTTCCGATCCCGTCCTGGGGTCCAGCTCCCTGGGGCCTCGAATCTGCACAAAAATGCGAAATCTCGAACATCCGTTCTGCGCTACACCAAATGACGCGGGTCCCGCAGCGATTTGGGACCGGACTAGAAAATTTCAAAAAGCGACCACGACATTTCCGCCAATTTGGGGTCAAAAATCTAAAACCTTCCGAATAAAATTTTCTCAGTGTTCCGCTTTTGATAAATTCAATTAGGATAAATAAAGAGTAATAAAGAAAAAAATTATGATTCGGGAGTATCCTTGCCGCACAATAGTTACGCTCCCAAACATATTCGTTTATTCATGTGTGGTTCGCAATTGGGAGTTCACGTTCTCAGCAATCCTCTTTAAATTTTTGTCTTTACCATGGTCTTCACGTATTCCACTCGCTTCTCGTTTCGTATCTGCCACTTGATATCATTTTTTAGTCAACGCTGCGATGGAGGGAAGGAGAAAGCCAATGTCTCTTCTGCTGGACGGCCTCGACTACAGCAGCCCGGAAGGGATCAAGAAGATGATGAAGACGGTCACCTACTATGGCATCCAGCAAGTTGGTTTTTCTGCTGAATCGTGATTTGCTTTAGATATTAAAATTGCGCGGTCTCCTCCCCAGGCAAAACTTTCGGAAGAAGGGCTTGATCACCGGAGGCCCGACCGGACATCTGAGCGGCTACGTACTGATCCCGGCGGATGACGAAGACAAAACGACGGTTGCCGCGCGCTTCCGTGAGAAGATCAAGGGCCTGTCGGAAATCATCGACGACGAAGTGCTAAAGGTTGGTGAAAGTACGGTTTTGTTTAGATTTTTAGGAAGTTAGCCTCGTGGTTTCCACCAACAAACAGGATATCTACGACGCCGCAGAGGTCTACACGTTCAATTTCCGCTACGGAGACGACGCGGTGATGGAAATGAGGTAAAATCACTTGCTTGCCGTGGAAAAGAAACCATATTTTAGTAAGAGCGGGGGCGAATCGTCGCTGGGTGCGGGGGCCACAGCCGACGATGTGGCAAAGTTTTTGTTTGACTTGTCCGTTCTTTGCCAATCGACGAACGTGTTGCCAAACCCGATCACCACTCTGCAACTTCGCCTGGTGGGACCACAAGGTGTGCTTTTATCTAAAATATTTTTGAAAAATTTTCAAAACTAAAAACCAAACTTTCAGGCGGGCTCAATTATGCGCTAGACCATTACACGGCCCACGACGCCCCTTACAAGTTCGACCATCCGCATGTCCTCGACAACTACCGCTTGGGCCATATACGCGCAGATGGTGCAGCGTGAGGAGAACGTTATTGGTAGCGATAAATTCGCATCTTAGGATGGGTCTGAACCTGCGCAGCTGTCAAGTCACCGACAAGGTCGAATTCGAATCCCGGATGCACCGCTTCGCGCAAGAGCGCATGAACAACGCGAATTCGACGCTGGGCTCGATTGACATGCAGCGAGCTATTGCGCAGGTGAGAATTTTCAGCGCTTTGATTCAGTTTTAGTCGCAGTTCAATGGCGTCCCAACTCTCTCGCCGGCTCTGAAACAATTGGCTATCAACAATCGTGCCGCTGATGGTAAGACAATTTCCATCGCGTTTGTATGGCTTATTTTCCAGATCATGCCACGACCACCTACACCGGCACGGCCTCCCGTCGAAGCGTCGACAAGGACTCTTCTGGCAGCACGGACTCAAAGCCGAAGCAACGAAATCGCCGGACCCTGCGCGCTAAATAGATATATCTTTATCGTTCTGTGATTTGTATTTCGCGCTGTATAACCCTTTTTAACCCATGTTCGTTGTTCTTGTTTTCTTGGTTTTCGGAATTTGAATAAACAATTTACCCGTTTATTTAGGCGTTATTTCTGGAAAGCGTCTCGACGTTTTGATTATTTGCAGACGATACCAAGGCTCCGGCGCTCAAACCACAGCATTAGCAAAATGACTTGCGGCACTCCTGAATGTTAGAAATGGCCGAAACGCTAACAAAAGGCATAAAAAAATCCAAATTTGCGTCCGTTGAGACGTATTTTTACGTCAATTCTTGCTCTCGACAATTCGGTGTCGTTTATTTTATTGCATTTTTCAGAATTTCGCAATCACAGGCCGAGCCGCACTCGATGGCCCCATCGGACATGGGGCCCGCGGATCTCGAGCACATCGCCGCCTACTTTAGCGAAACTCGAGCAGCGCTGGGAATGAAGAAGAAAAAGTCGACAGGCCCAGAACATTACCGCAACGATGTGGTTCCACCAGAACTACGAAGAGGTATTACAGCGCGTCTCTTGCATCCGGTTTAGAATTTCAACTATTCACGACAACGATAATGGACGGGCAAGAAATCAAGAAGAAAATTGAAGCAGAGGGAGCGTATGGTGAGGGTCTGTTGCAACTTGTCAATGATTGAATGTAGCCGAAGCTCTCGGTAAGGTTCGAAGCGCGTCGACTAACACCATGGCGACAGTGAATTTGCGTGTGAGGGACCATTTCGACGAAACAGGCCCGGCATACCAAAGGTTTTGATGGCTTTATCGATGGTCTATTTGGTTTAGAGTTACAACCGATGATGCGGCCCAAAGAGATGCACTCGAATTGGCAGAAATCCGTTGGTTTCAAAAATCGGAGCTACAGGAATCTGCAATGGTAATTTTAAAGTTCTACCTGGCAATCTTTTCCTAGCTTTCTGATCCCCAAGATTCGAAAATCGAAAGTGAGGAGCTACCGATCGAAGAACATTGGACCCCACTAGAGGTATTCGACACAATTTGCTGACCACTTTTCTTTTCTTTAGAAAATCGCGGTAAAATCGGTGGATGATGCCGCTCAAAAGATTTGGGACGGTGAGCGGGCGCTGCGGGATGAACGAAGAGAGTGTAAGATTATTCATTATGCCCAACCTTATTTTCCAGTGGCAGAACTGCGGAAAAGACGACGGGAAGCCCTGAACGAATCAGAAGCCTACTTTGCACGATTGGCCGAAGTCTGCCCGAACCTAGCGACAAGAGCACGAGCACTTTTGGATCGTCGCAATTGATATTGTGATACTTCATGGTGCTTGCTTCTCTTATCGTGTATGATTCTGCGCCGTAATTCACTTGTCTCTTCAGAACTCTCGTTTGCCCGGATCTTTTTCCCTATTCGCTATCATCTACCAAGTGCATTTTTCATTTTTATCGCGCTTCGTTTCCCATCGCGCCTTTCCACATTCACGTTGTCCTTTACTCGATCGACTTCGGTGTCTCAAAATACTCTTTTCCTTTGTCGCGTGGCATAGTCGATATACTAACTAAGCTTGCAGAATAAGTTACGGGCGCAAACCGAATAAATTGTCGCCACAATGTTTGCAATCGAAAAGCTACGGTTAGATACACAAACAATATACAGAAAATAGCTGCTTGTCCATGGAAAAGATGACGAATTCAGGGTCATACTTTTGTTTAGACTTGATTGGCAAGAATTGTTCTGATGGATGATGCTTCGTCCTATGTCGGCGAGCATCGAACAATCTATGGCCTCGAAATCAGCAACCACGTGCTGCGCCAGATGATCGACGCCATCGAAGAGGACTCGGACTCCGACACTGTAAATTCGCTAGCTTTAAATCCAAGACATCGTGTTTTATAGTCGCTGTATGAATTCGCGGATTCAAGGGCCGAAACAGCAATGTTATTGCTTGAGGTAATATTGGCATTAGAGTTTTAGTTGATTCTAGAAAACCGATTCGCTGACGACAAATTTTTTGCGCGAAGAGCGGCACGTTGAAGCGATTCGTGGAACTGAGGCCAAGCTCGATCCACATTTATGGTTGGACTTCCAACTTTTCAGTTACATTCCACTCAGGCGGCGGCTCAACGGCAAGGTACGCGTGCAGACCGTGTCGATGGCATTAGTCTTATGCTTGAATATAGGTATTTTGTTTGAAATTGTCTAAAGACGAAAGAAAATTATTTAGGCATCGACCCGCCTGACCCAGAGCCGTGGCCGGAGCAACGACCCATGATGGAGGCATGGGTACATCCTGGCGGATGGAGCCCCGATAAGGCCATCCTGGCGATCGCCTTCGAACTGCAGCAGGCGTATGCGCGCTTGCAACCTCGTGCCAGGTATTTACTCTCATTGAATTCGCTAAAAACGTTTCCTAGATGTAAATACACCACCAAATCAACCAAAGAAGACATCATGATGTTGTGCCAATCGATGAGGAGACACGCTTCGGTAAGAAAAGACTTTTTGTACATCATGCTTTTTATAGGATGGGAGGGTACTTTTCCACTATAACGGCCACGGCGTTCCTCGGCCAACGAAGCATGGCGATCTATGGGTATTCAACAAGGCCGTAACGCAGTACATCCCCGTAAGTCATCCATGCCAATTCCGCTTTACATTCCATGTTTTAGTTATCAATTAACGATCTGATGGATTGGCTTGGGGCGCCTACAATATATGTCTGGGATTGCAGCTCGGCGGCCAGTTGTATCAATGCCTTTCATGGATTCGGTGAACAGAAGCGGAGGTCCGTCCTGAGCTGTTCATTTGTCTTATGTAAATTTCTCCAGCACCTGGATGCACGAGTTCGAGGAGTACAAGGAGCAAGTTGACGAAATTCACCCCGAAAACGTGTCGCACATGTCGCCCTACGACGAGGCTGAGCTTTATGGGTTCAAGCTGCCACCGAATTTCCAGGTTTTTAATTGATACTTTCTAGTATATCCATATCTAGGATTGCGTCCATCTCGCTGCGTGTAGAGAAGACGAAAGATTACCGCAAGACCCCCGAGTCCCAGCCGATCTCTTTGCAGCCTGCCTTACCACGCCAATTAAAGCCAGCATACTGTGGTATGAGCATTTTTCCATATAAAAAATTTTTCTCTTAGGTATATGATTAAAAAGGACGTACGAGAGAAATATCCCGACAATCTGTTGGATTGTATCCCGGGGCAGATAGGTGATAGGCGCACGCTCCTCGGCGAGCTGAATTTCATCTACTCGGGGATCGCCGATGCTATTGCTTGGAATAGCCTTCCGCCCGAGCTCTTCCAAAGGCTTTTTCGCCAAGTAAGAAAAGTAATTCTTGATGATACCCGATATAGGACCACGTGCTAGCCACCATGTTCCGCAGCTACTTGCTGGCCGAGAAGGTGCTGGAGCACTTTGGCTGCCACACACGCTCCTACCCGTCCTTGCCCGCGATGGCCGCGCATCCGCTGTGGGAGAACTGGGAGATGAGCCTGGACTATGCCATCGACTACCTCGACAAGTTCATGTACTCGGCATCTCCGGCGTATGTGCCTTAGAATCACCCTTCATGTTGTTTTCTAGGAACCAATGCCTCTACGTGTCCAACCAATTGTTCACGGTGACCAGGAGACGCCAGGATTGTTGGTGATTTGTGCTTTTCTTGAATTTTGCGCGCTTTCCCAGAGACCCTAAGATCTTACGGCTGTCTACTTACAGATGAATTTTTGATTGATTTTTGGTAAAAAATATGGTAAATAAAAGCACGATGCAGCGAGACGGCCCAAAATTCAGTTTTTTACCTCTAAAAATCTTTTTTTTGATAATTTTTTTAGCGTTCAAAAACCTCTGTTGCGAGGGGCGCACCTGCCGGCACGCTAACGCCCACCGGCACGGCTGCTGGCGCTGCTGCACGGTTGCTCGCGAACCAAAACTCGGCGCGGGTGCTAGCACAGCTTCTGGCACGGCTGCTGGCACACCTCGGGAGGCGGAAAACAGGCCAGATTTGGCACGGCTGCCGGCGCGGTACTCGGCGCGGCTGCCGGCACAGCTGTACTGCACGCCTGCCGGCAGACCACTGTCGCGGAGCCGCAACGCGCCATAACTTAGAAAAATTTCTGCCTCGCGCTAAGTATTGTTTTTGTCATAATAATTTTTCAAGACTTATTATATTGCCGCATTTATGTCATTTCCAAGAAGGAATAGGTCGCCATCGGCTACGCCATCAGCTACGCCATCGGCTACGCGGTTTCTTGCTTACTAATAGGTACAACTTGCTTGTTATACGCGCGTATTTCAGGTGAAACCTTTTGACCACAATTATGAGGCAAGAAAAGTCTAGCAGCTGCTTCATGGTCGAAGAACCGACTGGATTGTGTATTTAGCGGTACATTGCTAATCGAGTTTAGATAGAAGCTTTTCGATCGGCAATCCTATCCGGTAACTTATTTACCTTAAAAATATGGATATTTGCCCCATGTCACATGCAACGATTGTTTGGTGGTATAATTTACCATTTTTTTACCTCTATCGTCAACGTTTAATCGTAAGTTCACCAAGAAAAGTTTGGCTGCGATTTTGAACAATAGAAAACCAAAGAAACCAACTAATTTAGTTATTCCTGCGGCTCCCGGTTCAACTACGCGACGGTGACGGCGTATGCTTCAGCCACCACTCAAATGCAATAAAAAATAAGCAATGCTGTTTTTATATGCCGAAAAATAAGCGTAAGGTGCGCCAGCAGCCGTGCCACAGCCATTTTGGGCCCAGTTGCCGGCGCGGCGTGTCGGCAGGCGTGCCACGGCACGGTTGCGCCGCGCGACATTCGGCAGCCGCGCCGATTGTGTGCTGGCAGCCGCGCCATTCGAAGCAGAGACGGCTAATTTAGGTTGAAAATGACCCACTATTTTACACTCTATTTTATTACCAGGCTTGATTTTCAGTCCTCGATCTCGCCGAGGCAGAACGGGCATTCCCTGAAGAGGGTCTACACTTCTTC